GAGATACTGGAACACTGCTATCATGTCCCCCCTCGTCCTTCTCTTCGTTAAACTAGACAGACCCAATTCCTGCAACTGTTCTTTTATGTTTTAGCCTCCAGTCCCCTGATCATCTTTGCTGCTCTTCTCTGCACTCCTTCTAGAGCAGTGGTTCTCAACCTTTTTAATGCTGCGACCCCCAACCGCTCATAAGTCGAGCACTACTCAACCGGTCGTAAGTTGAGGACTACTCAACTGGTGCAGCACCGTTTGCAGAATGGGACTTTCGGCGGGCTCAGCAGGGCAGAGACAGCCTGGACAATTTCTATTGGCTTTTGAAAGCCAATAGAATTAGACTCTATTCAAGAGAGTCTATTTTATTGACTTTCAAAAGCCGACAGAATAAAGCGGAGTAGCGCAGCTAAGGAAAAGGGGGGGGAAAAATGGCAGACTGCGTTGTTTGGCGACCCCCGTGAAATGGTCGTTCGACCCCAAATGGTGTCCCAACCCACAGGTTGAGAACCACTGTTCTAGAGTCTCAACCTCTTTTTTTTATAATGTGGTGGGCAGAATTGGACGCCGTATTCCCAGAGTGGTCTTACTAAGGCTTTGTAAAGCAGTACTAGAACTTCACGTGATCTTGATTCTTTCCCTCTGTTAATACAGCCTAGGATTGTGTTGGCTTTTTTGGCAGCTGCAGCACACTGCTGGCTCACATTTAAGGGATTGTCCACTAGGACTCAAACGAGATCCCTCTCACAGTTGCTACTATTGAGCAAGGTACCCCGTATACCAGGGGTCGGCAACCTTGGCTCTTTTATGACTCGTGGACTTCAACTCCCAGAATTCCTGAGCCAGCCGTGCTGAGGGGAAAGGGAGAGGTTTCCAAGCTGAGCTATGCTGGCTCAGGAATTCTGGGAGTTGAAGTCCACAAGTCATGAAGGGACCATAGTTCCCCCATGCTGGCTCAGGAATTCTGGGAGTTGAAGTCCCCGAGTCATGAAGGGGCCAAAGTTCCCCCATGCTGCCTCAGAAATTCTGGGAGTTGAAGTCCACGAGTCATAAAAGAGCCAAGGTTGCCTACCCCTGCCCTATACTATACCTGTACATTTGGTTTTTCTTGCCTAGATGTAGGCAAGAAATTCACCACTGAATTTCATTTTGTTAGATAGCGCCCAGTGCTCAAGTCTGTCCAGATCCTCCTATATCCTAAGCCTGTCTTCTGGAGTGTTGGCTATTCCTGCCAGCTTGGTGTCGTCTGCAAATTCGATGATTTCCTCATCTATCTCCTATTGCCACCTCCCAATTCCCTCTTCCCCTTTTATTGCAACAAGGTCTATCCCAAATTCAACCAATAACAAATAACCTACTGCAGAGCCTAACAGTAGCCAACAAATCAAAAAGAGATTACTCAAGAGTTGGTCTGTAGAGTTGTTTTTTTTTTGTTCTCAGAACAAGGAGAAGACAAATCAAGATCAATTTCAATAAATCTTGCCCTCTGGTGACAGTAGAGGCATCACACCCAAAGTGGTTTGAAAAGCATGCAGGCTTGTGTCCTAGAGAAGTCCTGCTCAGCCCTAATGAAAGAGATCACTCACTGATTGTCAAAAATTTGTGATAAGTAGTTATGAGTTGAACTATGGTATCAGAATCTTAACAAATAACGCATACCTTATATACGTTTCTATAAGTTTGTGAATATTGGACAATGAATTTGCTTCATTCCCATTGTATATATCTTTAACAATAACTATTGCAATATGGGTGTATGGAGGATCAATATTTGCAAACAATACATTTAGGCATTTTTTCATGACTTTGTGGCAGGTTTCTAATTGCTGTTGCAATTGTATGAACAGGTCCTTAGCTTAGTGGTTTTGGGATCAAAGGCATGATTCCGTGGTGCAGATTGTAGATCAATTTCAGATTAGCTTTCTTGCATTTATTCTCTTCCTCCAGCAAAAATAAACTGTCTTGGAAAAAAACTGTATTGTATTGGAACAAATATGATTTTATTGTAGGAAAAAAACTTTTAAAAACAAAATGAGCAGATAAAACCATTTATAACCCCTATTTAGATGATTGTCCACTAGGACTCCAAGATCCCTCTCACAGTTACTGGCATTGGGCCACGTTTCATCTAGCCCAGGGGTAGGCAACCTTGGCTCTTTTATGACTCGTGGACTTCAACTCCCAGAATTCCTGAGCCAGCCATGCTGAGGAGAAAGGGAGAGGTTTCCAAGCTGAGCCATGATGGCTCAGGAATTCTGGGAGTTGAAGTCCACGAGTCATGAAGGGGTCATAGTTACCCCATGCTGACTCAGGAATTCTGGGAGTTGAAGTCCACAAGTCATGAAGGGGCCATAGTTCCCCCATGCTGGCTGAGGAATTCTGGGAGTTGAAGTCCACAAGTCATGAAGGGGCCATAGTTCCCCCATGCTGGCTGAGGAATTCTGGGAGTTGAAATCCACATGTCATGAAGGGGCCAAGGTTCCCCCATGCGGGCTGAGGAATTCTGGGAGTTGAAGTCCACGAGTCATGAAGGGGCCATAGTTCCCCCATGCTGGCTCAGGAATTCTGGGAGTTGAAGTCTGCGAGTCACAAAAGAGCCAAGGTTGCCTACCCCTGACCTAGCTTGTACCTATACAGTTGGTTTTTCTGGCCTAAGTTTAAAAATCTGCCTTTTATCTACGCTGAATTTCCCTTTGATTTGCTGCCATTTTTTTGTTATGATCAGTAAGTGCTAACCACCATTCAGCTGGAGGTACTGAACCATTCACACATGCAGTGGTGGGCAGCCTCTGCCCTACGGTAAAAGCAAGGAAGATTTGAGTGCAAAATAACCCAGAGAAGGAAATGGAGGCGGGACATTAGATGTGGGAGAAATCCCCAAAGCTGCGCTTGAAACTTTGCAGTACGATCTTTGTGGTTGTGCATTCTTTGTGTGAACCTTGCCTTGAATCAATAATTCTAGAATCACCTTTGGTCAATAGGTAGGCAGTGATTTCCACTGATAACCACTAAATACAGACAGAATGTTTCTTTTCTGTTCCTTTACTAAAATCAGAACGACCAAACTTGGCCTGCGGTGTTTGAGCCGAAATCCCTAACTGGATGTGGCCTTTTTCTCCAGTTTTCTATAACCATCTATTCTAGGGGGTCCCTGGTGCCCTCTGAGCTGGGTGGTTTTGTTGCAGATGTTTCATTACCCAGCTAGGTAACATCATTAGTGCTAGAAGGGAGTGGAGTTTGCAAGGAGGAGGAGGAGGAGGAGGAGGAGGAGGAGGAGGAGGACGACGACTGTGGGGCCCTTGGTGCTCTCTGAATTTGGTGGTTTTCTTGCAGACGTTTCATTACCCAGCTAGGTAACATCATCAGTGCTACAAGGGAGATAGGGGAAGAGGAGGACGAGGACGACGACAACAACGTCCATTGTGGGCTGCTTGGTGCTGTCTGAGCTTGATTGTTTTCTTGCAGACATTTCATTACCCAGCTAGGTAACATCATCAGTGCTAGATGGGAGTTGAAGGAAGAGGAGGAGGACCACAACCATCTTTGTGGGCTTCTTGGTATCTCTGACATGGATTATTTTCTTGCAGATGTTTCAATACCGAACTAGGTAACATCATCCGTGCTAGAAGGGAGTGGGGTTTATATATTAGTGCAGGGATGTCAAACTCAATTTCATTGAGGGCCGCATCAGCATTGCGGTTGCCCTTGGGGGGGGGCTGGGGGGGTGCAGCCAGGGGGGGTGCAGCCTACTGGGTGGGCGTGGGTGGGGTGGGTGTGGCCTACTGGGTGGGTGTGGCCAGCTCCACATCGTTCGCGTCAAGGGGGCCTGTGGGGGCCTGGGCAGGAATGGGACAGATCTGGGGGTCTCTGGCAGAAGGGGGTGGGACCAGGGCAAGCACCAAGGTATGGTCCATTTCTTCATTCCTCACAAAGGGGGACCCCTCCCCAGCATGCACCCAGGGGGCGGGGGCGACACGGGAGGGGCTAGTTCCTCGCTGTTTCCGGACGGCCTTACGTAGCTAAGACTGAATGCGTTTCAGCCTAGATGGCCACCACAAAATTGTACATTGGCTCCTGGCCAGCCTGGGCCAAGGCCAAGGCAGCAGGGGCCATTCCCTCACTGTTTCCAGGATAGCTTCGTGGGCCACATGAAACCACTTCGCGGGCCGCATCCAGCCCCCGGGCCTCGTGTTTGACATGTCTGTATTAGTGGCTTCTTGCCCTGTGAGTGCTGAATTCTTGGTGGTCCCTTACATAGGTGGTTCCTATATAAATAGATAACAGTCCTCTTCCTCCTCCTCCTCCTCTCTGCAAACCCCCCTCCCTCTTAACACTGATAATATTACCTAGTTGGGTCATGAAACGTCTGCAAGTCACCAAACTCGGAGAGCATCGAAAGGACCCCGATTTCAACCCTCAACTATAAATACATGATCTTCTATCGCAGTGTTTCTCAACCTTGACAATTTTAAGGCATGTGGACTTCAACTCCCAGAATTCCACAGCCAGCAACGCTGGCTGTGGAATTCTGGGAGTTGAAATCCACATGCCTTAAAATTGTCAAGGTTGAGAAACACTGTTCTATCGGTACCAAATATCTACACTGGGGCAACACAAATAGATAGGGGTAGTTTCTGGAGGGAACTTAAAAAGCCAGCCACATACCCGAGTTTGGAGCCTATGCTTCCCCTATCTGGAGAGCTCTGATTAATTCATTTAAAATTGATTTAGTTAGTTGCATATTGGGCACGGCTGCTTAAAACTGGAGATAGGAACTGCCCTTTGGACAGGAGGGGAAAAAGTTTTTTTTCTTTTCCCAAAACTCGTCAACGGGACGTTTGCAGCCGCTGCCACTGTTTTTCTCCCGAATTCATTTCTGGTTTTCCCTCCACCGGAGCCAATTTGCAGCGTTCGAACCGGGCTGATGTTGGGCTTTTGTTTTTCGATCGGCTGATTCTTCCCTGTGATTTTAACGACATTTTTTTTTCCCTCTCATCTTTGCTGTGTAGGACATTCAGTCAGAAGAAAACGGCGATCGAGAGAGAATACGCACAGGTAAGGAGCAGAACGTGGCAGCCGATGGTTGAAGAGTTTGCATTCTCTTTCCTGCAGATTTTTTAAAAAAAAAAACAACAACTGTTGCCGGCATTAAATTCATCACTTGGGCTGTTCAAGTCCTCGACTAACAACAGTCCATTTAGAAATTGTTTTAAAGGTACCACAACGCTGAAAAAGGGGGGCAGATGGCTCGTCCTCGGACTTACGACTCTCACAACATTTCCCCAAGGTCACGTGATTCAAATTCAGGCACTTGGTGACCAACATGGCAATTGCAGTATCGTGTGTGTGTGTGTGTGTGTGTGTGTGTGTGTGAGAGAGACAGAGAGAGAGAGAGAGATGTGATCACCATTGGCCACCTCCCCAGCCGGCTTCTGATCAGCAAAGTCAATGGGGGGGGGGGAAGCTAGATTCACTTAAGGGCCATTGGTTCACTTAACAACTGAGCGGATTCACTTAAACAGCTGGGGCAAAAGAGGTTGTAAAAATTGGGCACGACAATTTCGACAACCGCCTGCCTCATTGAACAATGGAAGTTCCGTTGCCGATTGTGGCCGTAATTCGGGACTGCCTGTACTGAAAAGGTGAGATTGTCCCAATTGAGCGGAATCCCTCTCTAACTTTCTCACAATTAAGTGACTCTATTGTGTTTGTCACATTAAGGCAGGGGTCTTCAAACTTGGCCCTTTTATGACTTGTGGACCAACTCCCAGAATTCCTCAGCCAGCGCTGCTGGCTGAGGAATTCTGGGAGTGGAAGTCCGCAAATCATGAAGGGGCCATAGTTCCCCCATGCTGGCTGAGGAATTCTGGGAGTGGAAGTCCGCAAATCATGAAGGGGCCATAGTTCCCCCATGCTGGCTGAGGAATTCTGGGAGTTGAAGTCCACAAATCATGAAGGGGCCATAGTTCCGCCATGCTGGCTGAGGAATTCTGGGAGTTGAAGTCCACAAGTCATAAAAGGGCCAAGTTTGAAGACCCCTGCACTAGCTGCTTAAAACCATCAGCCTTCCATGGGTACAACATTACACGGACTCAGTTTGTGTATAGATTATTTATCTCAGCCAATTTGAGAGAATGAGGGGGGAAAAAACACACTAGAGGCAGATGACTTTCAAGAAGACACATTCGCAGGAAACAATATAAAATACAGAATAACAAAGTTGGGAGGGAGCTTGGAGGTCTTCTAGTCCAACCCCCTGCTCAGGCAGGAAACCCTATACCATTTCAGACAAATGGCTGTCCAGTCTCTTCTTAAAAACCTCCAGTGTTGGAGCATTCACTGCTTCTGGAGGCAGGTAGTTCCACTGGTTAATTGTTCTCACTGTCAGGAAGTTTCTCCTTAGTTCTAGGTTGCTTCTCTCCTTGATGAGTTTTCATCTGTCGCTTCTTGTCCTGCCTTCAGGCACTTTGGAGAATAGCTTGACTGCCTCTTCTTTATCTGCTGCCCCTCAGATATTGGAAGCATTGCTATCACCCCTCGTCCTTCTCTTCATTAAACTAGACATACCCAATTCCAGCAACCGTTCCTCGTATGTTTTAGCCTCCAGTCCCCTAATCATCTTTGTTGCTCTTCTCTGCACTCTCTCCAGTGTCTCAACAACTTTTTTATTTGAGGGGCTGCCACAAAGACCGAGGGGTCACGTTATTCTCCAAAGCACCAGAGGGCAGGACAAGAAACAATGGTTGGAAACTGATCAAAGAGAGAAGCAACCTAGAATTAAGGAGAAACTTCCTGACAGTGAGGACAATTAATCAGTGGAACAGCTTGCCACTAGAAATCGTGAATGCTCCATCACTGGAGGTTTTCAAGACAACCTCACTTGTCTGAGGTTCTCCTGCTTGAGCGGGGGGCTGGACTAGAAGACCTCCAAAGTCCCTTCCAGCTCTATTCTATTATTATTCAAACTGGATGCAGAGTTCCAAGTGTGGTCCTACCAAGGCGTTATATTTGTTGCCCTTTAGTGGCATACCAGTATACCAGTTCTTTAAGTGAATTTTAGCGGATATGGAGCCTTAGAAAGAAAAAAAAGTGTTTTCCTGTTGTCTGCCTACAGTATGTCTGCAGCGCATTTGGTTGTTTTGTAAAAAAGAATTTGGTTTTCTGGGCAAGCCTGTTCTTCTGACAAATCTATTGTGTTTGTTTTGTGGTTTTCCTCCTGCTGTTTAACAGACTCAATTGTCGTTTTTTCAAAATCTTTCTTTCCCTCTTTTCTTAAGGCAGAAGAAATGGACTAATTTGTTTTAGTAAAAAAAAATATGTTCTAGTTTTCGAAGAAAAAAAACGGAAGGGGTGTGTTGGAAGTCACAAACTTTGACAAATAGATCATCAGCTTGTTTGAATCCCGGCTCAAGATCTGTGAAAATCCATCGTTCACGATCTGTCTCTCTCTCCTGTTAGACAGGAATCATAATCTGATGAAATCTGTTGGTTTAGAACAGGGGTAGGCAACCTTGGCTCTTTTATGACTCGTGGACTTCAACTCCCAGAATTCCTGAGCCAGCATGGCTCAGCTTAAAAACCTCTCCCTTTCCCCTCAGAATGGCTGGCTTAGGAATTCTGGGAGTTGGTTTACGAGTCATGAAGGGGCCATAGTTCCCCCATGCTGGCTGAGGAATTCTGGGAGTTGAAGTCCACCAGTCACGAAGGAACCATAGTTCCCCCATGCTGGCTGAGGAATTCTGGGAGTTGAAGTCCACCAGTCATGGAGGGGCCAAAGTTTCCCTCATGCTGGCTCAGGAATTCTGGGAGTTGAAGTCCACGAGTCATGAAAGGGCCATAGTTCCCCCATGCTGGCTGAGGAATTCTGGGAGTTGGTCCACGAGTCATGAAGGGGCCATAGTTCCCTCATGCTGACTCAGGAATTCTGGGAGTTGAAGTCTACGAGTCATGAAGGGGCCATAGTTCCCCCATGCTGGCTCAGGAATTTTGGGAGTTGAAGTCCACCAGTCATGGAGGGGCCATAGTTCCCCCATGCTGGCTGAGGAATTCTGGGAGTTGGTCCACGAGTCATGAAGGGGCCATAGTTCCCTCATGCTGACTCAGGAATTCTGGGAGTTGAAGTCTACGAGTCATGAAGGGGCCATAGTTCCCCCATGCTGGCTCAGGAATTCTGGGAGTTGAAGTCCACCAGTCATGGAGGGGCCATAGTTCCCCCATGCTGGCTGAGGAATTCTGGGAGTTGAAGTCCCCAAGTCATGAAGCGGCCATAGTTCCCCCATGCTGGCTCAGGAATTCTGGGCATTGAAGTCCACCAGTCATGGAGGGGCCAAAGTTTCCCTCATGCTGGCTCAGGAATTCTGGGAGTTGAAGTCCACAAGTCATGAAGGGGCCTTAGTTCCCCCATGCTGACTCAGGAATTCTGGGAGTTGAAGTCCACCAGTCATGGAGGGGCCAAAGTTTCCCTCATGCTGGCTCAGGAATTCTGGGAGTTGAAGTCCACAAGTCATGAAGGGGCCATAGTTCCCCCATGCTGGCTCAGGAATTCTGGGAGTTGAAGTCCACCAGTCATGAAGGTGCCAAGGTTGCCTACACCTGGTTTAGCAGTTTTCATCATGGATGACTATAGGTAGTCCTTGAATTACGACCGTTGCTAAGCAAGACAGTTTTAAATCAATCTTGCCCCATTTTATGACCTTGCTTGCCACCGTGGTTAAGTGAATCACTGCAGTTAAGTTACTAACACGATTGTTAAGTGACTCCGGCTTCCCCCTTGACTTTGGTTGTCAGAAGGTCGCAAAAGGGGATCACGTGACCCCGGGACACTGCGGCCGTCATAAATATAGGCAGTCCTTGACATATGACCACAATTGAGCCCAATGTTTCTGTTGCTAAGCGAGACATTAGTTAAGTGAATCTTGTCCCATTTTACGACCTTTCTTTCCACAGTCGTTAAGGGAACCACTGCAGTTGTTAAGTTAGTAACACGGTTGTAAAGTGAATCTGACTTCCCCTTTGACTTTGCTTGTCAGACGGTCGCAAAAAGGGATCAAATGATCCGGGCATGTTGCAACCGTCATAAATGCGAGTCGGTTACCAGGGCGTCTGAATTTGGATCACATGTCTACGGGGATGCTACAACGGCCATGTGAAAAAATGGTCCTAAGTCACTCTTTGCCGTGCTGTTGTAACTTTGAACGGTCACTAAAGGAACGGTTGTAAGTGGAGGACTATCTGTACATGCCCGTTGCCAGGCATCCGAATTTTGATCACCTCACCATGGAGGTGCTGCAACGGTCGTTAAGTGTGAACAACGATTATAAGTCCCTTTTTTCCCCATGCTGTCGTAACTTTGAACAATCCCCAAAGGAGCCGTTGTAAGTCCTGGATCACCTCTCTGCTCTGTTGTTTTGAAAGGCAGCAAGAGCCCTTGGCAGGATTTGGGATCAAAAGGATTACATTTGATCCGGTTTCTCTTTAGACACCGATCTTTCCAAGTCCTCCTGAATTTAAAATGATGGTTAAAAGGACGGCAGCGTAATTAATATTCTCGATCGGCTGAGCACTAAAGTCTCTTTTGAAGCTTCTGAGTCATGCGCTAAGAATTTGGATGGCGTAGAAATGCTTAGGGGTACTAGATCCAAAACCAACATTTGTTGATCTCTCGCTCTGGACCTTGTGCCTTGGCTGCCTGTAAAAATTCTAAATGATTGGGCATTTTGAAAAGGATCTTCCCGGAGCCTTAAGCCTACAGCTCAGATGTATACACAATGGAAGAACATTGCTAAGATAAAATTGGAAGAAATGCTTTGGAATATCCTGTTTTAGCAGCCGCCCCGCCTTTTCTTCCAAAGAATGTCAGACAGTGGGGCTCTGACCTTAAGAAGGAATTAATTCATCAAAAAAGAAAGAAAAAGGAATTATTTTCCAGCTGACCAACAAAGATTGTCTTTTTTATTATGTGGAAGATAACAATAAACTTGAAGGGGCTTTTAGCACGTCGGCATTGAACTTGCTATACGAGTATTCCAGGTTTTGGTTTAAAGTTTGGGTTGTTTTTTTTATAATTAGATTAGATTAGATAACTTTTTTTGTCATTTTTTCCCCCCTATGGCAGTGTTTCCCAAACTTGACAATTTTAAGGCATGTGGACTTTAACTCCCAGAATTCCACAGCCAGCAACGCTGGCTGTGGAATTCTGGGACTTAAAGTCCACATGCCTTAAAATTGTCAAGTTTGGGAAACACTGCCCCATGGGTACAACGGCACATGTTAAAAATGAAATTTAGTGGCTTGCTTTCAAAGCGCACACATAACACACATTTAAAACATGCTATATACAACACGTGGATAGACCTACACCCTTACCTACAAGCAACATATAAATATTAATCCCAATTCATACTTTAATCATTTTTAATCATTAGCACGGCTAGGCTTGAAAGAAATCCAGACAGTCCTCAACTTGCGACCACAGCCGAGCCCAATATTTTTGTTGCTAAGTGAGACCTTTATTAAGTGAGTTTTTTTCCCCCATTTGAGGACCTTTTTTGCCACAGTTGCGAAGTGAATCGCTGCAGTTGTTAAGTTAGGAACACAATTGTTGAAGGAAACTGGCTTCTCCGTTGACTGTGCTCGTCAGACAGTCCCAAAAGGGGATCACGTGACCCCCCCTTTTGCCTCTTTAGGGACCCTAAATGTGAAAAACGGTCCTAAGTCACTTTT